AAACCCTAAAGACTCTTACAAAAAACAGAATAAACAAATTCAGTCGTTATAGGATACAAATTAACAATATACAAATCTCAGTAGCATTCCTATATACTAATAACTATCAGAAAGAAAAGAAAGCATCCTCATTTACAAAAGCATCAAAAACAATAAAATACTTGGGAATAAATTCAACCAAGAAGGTGATACATCTATACACTGAAAACTAAGACACTGACAAAAGAAATAGATGAAGATGCAAATAAATGACAAGATCTCTCATGTTCCCAGATTGGAAGGACATTATTAAAATGTCCATACTACCCCAAAGTAATCTAGAGAGTCAATGCTATCCCTAGAAGAATTTCCAATGGCATTTTTTCACACAAATAGGAAAAACAATCCTAAAATTCATGCAGAACCACAAAAGATCTTGAATTGCCAAAGCAATCTTAAGAAAGAAGAATAAAGCTAGAGGCATCCAACTTTCTGATTTGAAACTATATTACAAAGCTATATACAAAAACAGTATGGCACTGGCATTAAAAACAGACATACAGATCAATGAAACCAAAATGTAAACCCATACATATATGGTCAATTAATCTTTGACAAAGGCACCAAGAACACACAATGGACAGAGTTTCTTCAATAAATGGTGCTGGGAAAACTGGTTCTCCACATGCAAAAAAAAAAATAATTAACTTTTAATACCATTACCTTACACCACCCCCAAAATTTAACTTGAAATGGATTAAAGCATTAAATGTAAGACCTGAAATTATATAACTACTAGAAGAAAACACAGTCCTTAATATCAGTCTGGATGATATTTTGGATAATACCAAAAGTACAGGCAACAAAAGCAAGAAAATAAAAGGGACTACATCATACTAAAAAAAGCTACTGCACAGCAAAGGAAATGTAACAAAAAAAGTCACTGTCTTGAAGAAGTATCTGCACTCCCATGTTCACTGCAGCATTAGTCACAATAGCCAAGATACAGAAACAACCTAAGGGTCCACTGACATAAAGAAAATGTGGTGTATATATATATACACATATATATATATATACACACACACAAACATAAATATACATATATACATATGATGGAATATTGTTCAGCTATGAAAAAGAAAGTAATTCTGCCATTTTTTACAATATAGATGAACCTGGAGGGCATTATGCTAAGTAAAATAAGCCAAAGACAAATACTGTATATCACATAAATGGAATCTTAAAAATTAAAAAAAAAGTCAAACTCACAGAAACAGAGATTAGAATGGTGGTTGCCAGGGCCTGGGGGAAACGGGCAAAGTTAGTCAAAGAGTACTAAGCTCAGTAATATCTAAGGATCCAATGTACAGCATGGTGACAATAGTTAAAAATACTATATTGAAAGTATATGTACTTGAAATTTGCTAAGAGATTAAGCATTCTCACCAAAAAAAAAGGAAAAAGGTAACTATGTAAGGTGAGCTCCACCTGAATTTCTGAAAAGGTAGCTTTAGGGCTGCTATAATGAAATACCACAGACTGGGTAGCTTATAAACAACAGAAACTCATTTCTCTCAGTTCTGGAGGCTGGGAAGTACAAGACCAGGGTGTCAACTTGGTCTGTTGAAGGGCCACTTCTTGGTTCACAGCTGGTATCTTCAATGTGCTCTCATATAGTAGAAGGGACTAGCTCTCTGGAACCTCTTGTATAAGCCACTCACTCATTCCTGAGAATGGAGCTCTCATGACTAAATTATATCCCAAAGACCACACCTCTTCATCTTTGAGAGTTAGGATTTCATCATAAGAATTTCGAAAGAAAACATTCAAACCACAGCAATAGTCAATCAGATTCATCCAGTCTCACTTAAGAAAATTAAAGTGCTAAAAAATCATATAAATATTGTTCATAGTTCAACCAATACTTCCTCCAGCATAGTAGTACCCAAATTTTAAGAACAATACATGACACTTCTCTATTCTCTTTGAAACTACTTAAGTCAAAAAAGATTCTATAACACCAAACATGCAAGGAAAGTGGACCAGTAAGATTATCCTATCATTCCAACTAATCATGGATTAAAAGTACATACATTAACCAAAAGATTAATTATTTACCTCAAATTTTTAATGATATTTTAAAATTCTGATTTAGGTTGAAAAGATTTTCTAAGTTTTTTTTATGAATCAGTGTTACTTCTATAAATAGCCTTCCAAATGATTACATTTATTACGCCAAAAGATTTTTAAAGTTTAGTTTCTAAGTAGTAGAAAGACCAGAAAAACTACTTTCAAAAAACAAACGCACTACTCTCTAGGTTGAAGCAGCTTTTTTTAAGACTTAACACAATGACCAAAGAAAGCATATCCAGTCAGTCACAAAATAGAAGAACTATGTAGCAAGTTTTGCCCTATTTTACAGATGAGTTCCACAGATGCTGAACAAGAATACACAAAAGGAGAGGAACAAGTGATAAACTGTAGGAACTGATAATGTCTTCATTCTTGAGCTGTGTGCTGAATCCATAAGTATTTACTAGATGAGACTAGAGCAGACTAAACTAGCTAAATAAAGTCAGACCTGGACCATTGATGATGTGTCATGAATCAAATTCCAAATCTCAAGTCCAAAAAATCAGTTCACAAGTAACAAATCTGCAGGATCTGATAGGTATAATGACTGACACAGATATGTCTCTCAGAATAAATAGTATTTAATATTTTCTCAGTGAAATAACAATATATTAAAAATAATTCAGTGTCAACATCAAAGTGGCCTTTATTTTACCTAATACAAGTTGATCTTATTTTTAAAAATCTATAATTAAAACTGATTACAAAGACATAAGGCAATAAGTATATTGTTAACTATTGTCACTAGAGTCACAATCCTGCTAAATCTCTAAGTATCTTTTTCAGAGAAAATTATACAAACATATTACATAAATAATCTTAGAAACACTTTTCAGTCCATTGAAGGGTAGAAAATCAACAAATACTGGTAAAATTAAATTGAACTTTACAATCTAGACATGCCCTCTTATCAAGGCATTTAGCAGTATCTTATTTTTGTAATGATGTTTTCTGAATGAAACCTCAGGTTTCTAACTTTTAAATTTTATTTTATTGCATCCTCATATATTAATAGTATGATTTTTAACAGATTCATATCTGTAACACCAAAGGCCCTTTCATTTAATCTACCATCCCACATTAATTTTATTTGGAAAAGTCTTTTCTTCATTCTGATTCTACAAAGCAACAACTTGAAATAAACTATGTATGGGCTTAGTTGTACCAATACATTTTTTTAAACTTAATTTCCCACTATATTAACCAATGCTTAAAATAGGAAAATAAACTGTTTAAAAATATGTTTCATCTATAATGTTTTACTGAAAAATTAATTCCAATAACTAACCCAAATATTACTCTCCACGGATATATATTGCTGAATAACTTGTTCAAATGTCAACTGCAATTTTCAAAAATCCTTTCTACCTCAAAGTTTCAAACATCTGTAAAAAAATACTTGTTTTGAGAGTTGTTTACATTCACGAGACCTGACCTTTTGCTGTACCAACACCACAAAATTCAAGTCTCAAATACCATGCAAGATGCAAGGAAGAAATCTGATCATTCCTGCAGTAGCCATCTGCATTGGTCCAATATCAAATATTAGTTCTAGGTTGCACTAAGCCATGTGTTACAAATCTCTTTCTGTAGACTCTATAATTAGTTATAATTTGCCTTTTTTAAAATCTGTTTCTTACGGGACATCTGGCTGGCCTTGAAACTTCCACCTCCCCATTGAAAAATACTTAGTGTCTGGATTTTTCTTTTTCTTAGTATGGATCACTGCATAGATGGCATAACCAAGTCCAGACTCTTCTCAAAAAATTAAATTCCAAGGACAGATGATGATTAAGAACCATTTAAGTATTAGCAAATATAAATGGAAAATAAAACTCTACTGCAATATAACTATCTACAGATTTCTAACTCAATCTCCAAAATATTTAAAATTCACAAAATAAATTTTCATGAGACTGTAGAATTGGTCTACTTACTTCCAGGAACTCTATTAGTTAAATTGGTAATAAAGGTTTAGAATCAAAGATTTTATAAAAGGAAAAAACTAAAGCCCAGTGGTTGATATGATACTCAAAGTATCTACTTAAAATAGGAAATGATTTTAACAATTCATAAATAATCTAATTTCACAGAGATTGAAGTTATATTTAAGATATACAAATTGATTAAAGGTGCTTACAAAAAGAGTCAATTTAATAATACTCATCAACGCACTTGAGTCTAACTGAAAGTTAAATATGAGCTAAGGAAAAAAGTAGAAATGAAAGAAACACTTTTCTGTAAGATAAAAGTCAAAAAATTAATCACAATGTGCTGCTGTCTAGACCTGTTTGCTTCCTAGATTGGAAAATTTTTTATAAAAATGCCTATTAAAAAAAAGTACACTTTAACAAAAAAAAAATTTTTTTTTAATGTAACATGGACCAGAGAAAAAAGTAAATGTCAGAAAAAAAATCAGCTTCTGATGCTAAAATTTCAGACACAGTGAAATTTGGTAAAAAGTATATGGTATATATTTTCATCTTCTCAAAAAAACAACTTGATAAATTTTCACATCATTTAGAAATGTCATGTAAATAAAAATTATAGTTTTTTAGCAAAAATTCAAAAACCTTCACCTAAAAATTGGATACAATCAGGGCCCTAATTCTAGTTGATAAAGGTAATAAGCAATCTACATGATCCTTATTAGGGCTGTGATTAAATTAAGTAAAATCAGTATGAGAATATCTGTTGGGATGTTTATCCAAATTTAAGAACACCCTTTTGCTATTAATTATATTACTTCAATAGGCATGTAAAAAACAGTAAGTATATAAGATTTGCTTATGTAAAAACTGACATATACCAAAAATTAAAGAAATATAAAATGCTAGTAAAACTTAAAATTGGTTAACAAACAACTAGGTTCAATAATTTCATACCTGCATTCCATCTTTAAGTTTCAAAATGCATTCCATTGTATTGATGGTAATTACCACTGGTTCTGAACCCAGTTTTGTCCATGGTACATGGATCCTTAATTCGTGAATATGTCCACTTAAAAAAGTGAATGGTAACTTCAATTCCTTAAAACACAAAATATTAAATAAAAATTAGTAAGTAACTAATATTTTTTCATTCTAAAATTGAAATTACTTTCTGAAAAGAGAAATGAAATTTGACACAAAAATATTTTGAAATTTATTGTTCATTAAAAACTAGCAAATAATTTGTTAAATTATCATTAATAATAAACTTTAAAAACATAGTGCAAGTTACACTTAATAAAATATTTAATCTAAAACTGTGTTTCCTACTCTGTTGAATGGAAACAATATACAATACCTGGTATATGAAAAAGACTCACATATGGTAGTGGGAGCAATAGATATAGTGGTACACAGCAGTAATTTTGATAACTGAATGGCATATTATTTAAAATCTACATCTGAATAAATGAACTCAAAATGTATTTTAAACTAACCAAAGAGGACAAGAAGGCAACTTGAAAGGAGAGCTGAATTAGAGTGACCTGCCAAAATAAAAACTGACCATTCTTGGGGAGGGGTAACTTACTGAGCTTTTTACCTAATTATAAAATTATACCTGGATACTAAGTGGCCATAAATTTTAAATGTTTTCTGGCTGGTTTCCCTTATTATTAGAAAGAAGATCAGAATTGGAAACATAAGTATCACCATAACCACCTTACACTAATAACCTATTTCACTTCCTGATAGAATTTTTGTTACATATCAACAAAGAAAAAAAAACAAATTTTATTTAAATCACACTTTCAACATTATTGTACCTATCCCTGAAAGTTAGGAAACATTAAGGTTATTCCTTCAACGAATAATTGTCCACTTACTTGGTTTAGCAACATAGTAGCAAAATAGCCAAATATAGGCAGTAACTTTGGAGCCAATCCACATGGATTTAAATCCTACCTTTGCCACTTGCTAGCGGAATGATATTGGGCAATTTGTTTAATGTATCTATGCCTTGGATTATCTATAAAATTTGGATAACAATGTCTTTAAGGATTAACTAACAAATTTACATTAATTACTTAAAACACTGTCTTCCTCAAAGATCATTATACAGATGCTAACAATTATTACTACTAGTACTACTATAAAAACAAATATGTGAACCTAATTAATGAATGTCTTCACATTCTTTTTTTTTAAACAGGACAGAATACTAAAAATCTATTTCTACTATACAGTTCTAATGAAATATTTCTGAGTACCATAATTTTAAAGATGCGGTTAATTTCTTCAAGTATAAATTAACTGGCACAGACTATAGTTTGATCAGTGTCTGTAACAAAGACAATGTTTAATGAGCATTTACTATGTACCAGGTACTCTTCTAAGCACTTTACTCTCATGCAATTATATACTCCTTAAGAACCCCAAAAGGTAAATATTATTATACCCATTTTGCAGATGAAGAACCTGAGGCCTGGAAAGGTCAAGTAACTTCCCAAAATGACTCATCTAGGAAAGCCAGACTGAAAACTGGAAAATATGATGCCAGAGCTTTTGCTCTTAACCACTATTATACTGCATCTATACTTCCACTATTAGCATTGAATACTGCTCCATAGGTTATACATCTATTTGGATAATGAGCCAAAATATCCACTCTATTACTCTTGACTAGTGTAACAATGATGCATTTGTGAAATGGCTACTAAAATTGCACTCTGTGGGCCCAATCTGGATTTTTTAGGGAGAAGTTAAAAAAGACCTGAATTAAAAACAGAATGGTAGTTGCCACAGAGCAGGGGAGTAAGGTGACAGGTGAAATAGGTAAAGAGTAGGGAGAAATTACTGAGAATATTTGATATATTGACCTGGCTGACAGTTACATGAGTATATTTTCACAGATGTCAAAATTCACAAGCTGTACACTAAGAAATGTACATTGACTATACTTTAATATAAAAAATTTTAATTTTTAAAACCACCTCAATCAAACTCAAGACCTTGGTGTCTTCAAAAATGCTACTAATCAACTAAACTACTAACCAAACATTAACAAGAGGAAGCATTCTTGAACATATTATTCTAGAATATATTGTTTTGAATCATATGGTCCATTTTGGAGACCTACTTGAAGTTCAACACTTATTGGTCATCTTACTACATTATATCCTTTACATTTCCTCATCATGCAGTTGCTCTGACAAATAGATTTTATGCCTTCAAAAAGAAATACAAAAATGTGGATTATTAGATCATCCTTAAGATAACCAAAAACAAATGACTTTTTCATTCCTTTTCTTCTCAAAATACATTATATGTTAATATGTACACATTAGGAAAAATGCATCCCTAAAACCAAAACACATATGACTACACAAAAGATATTAATAGCTAAGAATTTAAGAAGGTTGCATAATGCTCAAAAATCTAACTGTAGTAGGTGGTTACAAAATATCCTAATACAGAAAAAAGATACTTTAAAAATGACTATAAAAGGCAACAAAAGAAAAAATAAGCAAATCAAACAAAAAACTTTCATGCATCAAAGAAAACATTCAATAGAGTAAAAAGGCAATCTATGGAAGGTGAGACAATATTTCCAAACCATATATCTGACAATGGGTTAATATCTAGAACACATACAGAACTAAAATAACCACCACCAAAATAATAAAATAATAATCCAATTTAAAACTGGGTAAATGAGTTGATTATACAAGAACTTACACAAATGGCCAACAAGTAGAAAGTGATAGAAAAGAATGGGCAGAATAGGAAGGCAAGGCAGAAACCTCCTCCCATGCACAAACCAAGGAAGCAACTACAGCAAATAAATCTAACTCCGTAAATGACCTGAAGACTGCAGGACAAATCATTTACACCTGGTGAAAAAGAGAAGACAACGTTGGGAAGGGTAAAGTGGCAGAGGCACAATCCATTGACACAAGCCCTTCTCCATTCCACAAGCAGGAGGGAGAGGAATGGAGCAGGGAGGGAAGAAGCGCTGAAGAATCCTGAACACCTGGCCCAGGAGATCTGCTCTGGGAACAGGAGTCCACACTGCATTGAGCTTTGGTGATTAATGGGGCTGGACACCAGGGAGAGTTGGAGTACTCTGGGTTGCTGAGACTCCTGTCACTTATGGAGGACAGGCACATCCCATCAGTCCCACTGAGACCCAACCAGAGATGGCAGTTTGAAACATTTACAAGCAGCGAGAAGTGTGCCAGAGGGGTGGAGGTCAGAGGAAGCTCCCTCCAGAGGAGAAAGGGAAAGTGGACTACATTCCCACAGCTTTCCCTCAGACTAGCTGGCCAGGTGCTCACGGGAGGCAGCTCCAAAAGCTCTATCTCCCTCACTGGCAGCTCAGCCCCACAGCATGCTTCCCTGTGCAAACAGCCACCCAGCAGGCCTCAGACTTTGCTGCCTGAAAGGCAGAAACAGGCTTTTCCAGATTTCCTGGCCCTCTCTCAGCCCAAAAGGTGAGATTTCTAAGGAAGCCAGCTCCAAACACTCCATCTTCCTCACTGGCAGCTAACACTCACAGCAGCACTCATCTGCATACCTGCCACACCCATCCCAGCAGTAGTGCCATTGCTGACCAGCAGGAAGAGAGCAATGCCATACACAACGATCCCAACACAAGGACCACAGGGCACACAAAGGGAACACTGAGGCTAGCTATTAGCCTCTACTGACAGAGATCCACCACTGCCCTCAGTCAGGCAGAAAAGTGGCCCTGCCCACAGCTCACCAAGAGCAACTGTGGCTCCACTGCAAAAGAGGACCTGTTGATGAGCAAAGACTCTTGAGATTCTGGACAACAACAGTATAACTTCTTCATAAAGCCATTACTTTTCAGCCTAAGAGGCATACTGGATCTTTCCTAACACAGAAATCCAGACAAAATGAGGAGGGAGAAGAATATGTTCCCAAAAAATTACAGGATAAGACACCAGAAAGAGGGCTAAATAAAACAGAGATCACCAATCTTCTTGATAAAGATTTCACACAGTCATAAAGATGCTCACTGACATGAGGAAAGGAACTGACAATCTCAAGGAGAACTTCAACAAAGAGACAGATTTTAAAAAGACTATGCGAGCTTAGGAATATAATAATTAAAATGAAAAATACAATAGAGGGAATGAATAGCAGACTACTGGAAGTAGAAAAATCAATTAACATGGAAAGTAAAGAACAGAAAAACAACCAAACTGAAGGACTGAGAGAAAAAAGCATTTCAAAAAATGGAGGATGCTGAGAGAACTGTATGACAACTCCAAACAAAACAATATTCAAATATTATTTGAAGGTCCCAGAAAGAGAAGAGACAAAGGAATAGGAAGTGTCTTTGAAGAAATAATAGCTGAAAACTTTGCCAATCTGTGGAAGGAAACAGACACTCAGGTCCTGGAAGCACAGAGAGCCCATAACAAAAAGAACCCCAGGAACACAAAGTCAATACATATAGTAATTAAAATATCAAAGATTAAAAATAAAAAGAATCTTAAAAGCAGGAAGAGAGAGGCATACAGTTACCTATAACGGAAACTCCATAAGCCTATCAGCAGAAACATTACAAGCAAGAAGGGAGTGGCATAATCTATATAATGCATTAAAAAGGAAGAATCTATAACCAAGATCCTGAATCCAACAAGGTTATCATTCATAAATGAAGGAGAGATTAAAATATTCCATGATAAATGAAAGTTAAAAGAATTCACCATCACTCCTTACAGGATATTTTTAAAGGACTTCTTTAGATGTATATTAAGTTTAAATATACTACTGTATATTTAAAATTAAACTACTGTAAAGGGAGTAGACCAAGTAAAATATAAAGAAGGTATGAAGTTAATAAAACAAAAGTAGTAGAATCAACTATACACAAAATCAGTCAGGGGATACACAAAAGATATAGATTATGACATCTTATACATAAAAATGTGGAGGAGGAGGAATTAAAAACTAGCACTTTTAGATTGTGTTCAAAATGTAGCAGTCATCAACTTAATGTCACTGTTATATATTTAGGAAACTATGAACCTTATGATAACTACAAACCAAAATCCTGTAATAGATACACA